CTCCCTGGCAGAATATCCTGAGGACTGATAGGTAACACAGGACCTGCCCTCCCAGCAGCCATATCAGGAACCCTGTTCGACAGCATGCCAGCAAAACCTAGCGACCAGGGTTCTGAATATTCTGCGGCAAGCAGGAAAATCACAAGGCACTGTCCTGATTTCACAGGACAGCCTTCTCAGCTTTGAGTCTCGATGACCCAAAAAGAAAGAAGGGCCACCGTTCTGAAGCTGGAACACCACATTCGCTCCAGGTTTCAAGTATTTAGGAAGACAGAGTCCCTGTCAATCAAATACTGTGCTCTCCTTAACAGGACCCTGAACATGTTACCACTAACAGCTCTGGCTCCACATGGTGGTCTTCTCCACTAAGGCTGGGCGTGAAGGCCAAATTCATTCACAGCAACAGGCACCGTGAGGTGAGGGCTCAGCTCCGACAGACAGCTGACCAGTCACTCTCTGGCCTTACCTGTTCCCCACTCCATGGGTTGGACAAGGTGGATGTCCACATTGCTTCTCAGAGTGAGTTCTCCCAGATGCCCCTCCTCCTTTCCCATTTTGGGTCCTTGCTACTCACTCCAGAGTGTCCATCATTAAGTTCTGGAAGTACCCTTACTCTAGCCCAGGTTGGTGTATTTCCCTATGAAAAAAACTTTCTAGCCAGGCACAGTGGCACACATCTGTACTCCCACTGACTTGGGAGGCTGAGGCAGGAGGACTGCAAGTTTGAGACCAGCTTAAAAAGGGTTGGGGACATGGCTCTGTGGTTAAGCACCCCTGGGTTAAATCCCCAGTATCAACAAGAAACTTTCTGATTACTGTTTCCAATTCCCAAATAAAAAGCTTATATTTCTAATCCTCAGGAAGTAAACCTGCTTCTCTTCAAGAACTTCAATACACCTGACTTGTCATTAGCAAAGGCATATATTAAACTTACTAGAAAGATGGCAGAGCTGACTTTCCAGCCTCCACAGAACACTTAAATCCCTCCTTCCTCCAACTTCTTAAATCCACAATTAGTTCAGAACAAGTGCTGTAGGAAGCAGCTGACGTCTACAGTTTGACTCTGTCATGGTACTTGTCAAGAAATACCTTGTTACAACCTTGTTCCCCAGAGTAGAGTTTCTTGGTCTTAGAAATCAGCAGAAATACCTAGGCTACATATTATTCATCCCCAAAACTGGAAACAATAACAAAAATAATCTATAAAAATGCTCAGAAGAGCTGAGCATGGTGGCGCACACCTGGAACCCTCATCATCCCCACTACTCAGGAGGCTTAGGCCTGGGCCAGCAACTTAGCAATATGAATCAAAAAGGAAAGGGCTGGGGATGGAGCTCAGCGGCAGAGCGCCCCGGGTTGGATCCCCCATACCACAGAAAACATATCTAAAGAACCTTCTGTAATTTACCAAGTTCTCTCAAAGTTCTTTTATAGTGGTAGAAAGGCTTGTCCTTCCAAAAGGATAAAAAAAAAAAAAAAAAAAAAGAAATGCCACTTGCTATTCAAAGCCACTCACATTAGAAGTACTAAACCTGAATGGGCAGCTGTCGCAGCGATACAGGTTTATGGCTTCAATGTGGGGCTCACAAGGCCACCGGGCCAGCCTGCCGTCTCCTGCACTCCTGGTCAGCCTCAGAGGGCACTGGATGTGTTTCCTGAAGCAGCACCTCCCACAGTAAGTGTAACAAAGAAGGAACTAAGAAGACAGGCACACAAATGGTAGCACCAAGGGCAGGGTGGCAAGGGGAGGGGCTAAGGGCTCACCAGGCATGTGGCTGTGGTGACACTGCACCCAAATGGGGTCTGTGCCACTTCCCTAGGGTGTCTACTGTCTGCTGCAGAAGGAAGGCCACAGCCAGACCACACAGTGCCACTGTGTGTGCCCCACTGTGCCACTTCCCACAGGTGGCCAGACAGCAGCCCACTTCCACAGCTGTGAAGGGTTCAGGCAGGACTGAGGCAGAGGCTGGTAACAGGATATAGGAATGGAGGCTCCTGATCTTTCTTCCCTGATACAACCCGCTTCAATCCATCGTCAGGGTCTAACACTAGCACAGGAATAAACCACAAGGCCCCCAGTCACGAGGCACCCACACGCACCACATCTACTCAGTTAATTTTTCTCAAAATATTTTACCTTTAAATTTGAATCCTAATTAAGGCACATCAAACGCAAGTTTCATGTCCAACACTGATTTAGATGGAGGCAGACTCTGTTTTCTTCCCAACACACCAGGATACCATTAAAGTAGTGCTTTGTTTTGAGAGAGGAACTAGAGGTTGAACCCAGGGGTGCTCTACCACTCAGCTACATTCCCAGTCCCTTTTGAAATTTTTTTATTGAGACAGGGTCTAAGTTGCTCAGGCTGGCCTGGAACTTGAGGTTCTCCTGCTTCAGCCACCCCAGTAGTTAGGATTACAGGCACAAAGAACACTTTTGCATACCACCAATAATCAGCCTGCCCCACCTGTGGTGTCTCCCCCACATCAGTTGTAATGCAAAACCCGAGTAAAAGCCTTTAGCTGCAAAGCAACACCACTTATTGAACATCTGTGCTCCAAACTTTGTGCCTGGCACATTTCACATGCTTAGGGACTTGGGTCTCACCACCATCTAGGCAGGTAGGTATGAATGACCTCCTTTTCAAAGATGTAGAAACTGCAACATCAAGATCTGAAGCAACACACATGAGGTCATACAGCAACTGAACAGCAAAACCCAGATTCCAACCCAGGCCTGGCTGGAGGTGTGGCTCAGGGAAGAGCACCTGTCTAGCTGGTGAGAAGGTCCCATCCCTGTCACCATAACTGCTTTGCTATGAACAAGCTTACTGGTATCCTTCACTTGATTACAGAGGAGAAAATAACAATCAGAAAATCAGCACCTGAAAGAATCGAGAGAGTTGAAGCCTGCAGGAAATAACTCTGGGACATCAAAACTCACTCACTCTAATGAGAGTGAGATGTTTTCAGGACTAGCCTAATAATTCCTCTGTACTGGGTTCTCAGATGATGTTTCACTGTTTCTTCAGCAAGAATTCTTTCACCAGCTGAAGTCAACTTTAGGAAGGTCATTATCTCTATGGCACTGCATTCATCTTGCTCTAGCACTATTTGAAAGTAATGCTGCCTCTCAGATACAGAACAGCACAAGCCTAGTCCATCTGGGTGGTGTACCCAAGAACTCACTTTCTGCTCCCAGTCATGCTTCAGCAGAAGGCGAAACTTCACCTCCCCACACAAGTGCAGAAGAAACCCCCCACCACCCTGACAAAAACACCAAAGTGAGCAACCTGCTCTGATGGCAGCAAGACAAGTGTCAGCAAAAGTCAGGCACTATCCCACTGGTTCCCGCTCACCCAGGCCACCACACCAGGGAACGGAGATTTAATGACTCTGTTGGTCTACACAGTGGGCGTAAGGCCTGGAAAAACTTCCTGTGGCCTCAGCAGGGCACACACATAGTGGATCATCACCTCTCCAAGGACAGCACAGCAGTCCTATTCAGATTACTCCTTGGGCCCTTAGGCTGTATGACCCTCAAAGTTAGTAAACAAACTGCTAAGCAAATTCATCCCTGGCCAGAGCTCACACCACCTCCCCAGCCCAGGTGCCTGACAACCTGAACCATCCAAGTGGCTGCTTCAGGCCTTACAGGTAGCATGTGGCCCTAGCCCCATAAGATTGCCCCTCAACTCCCCCCCCCCCCAAAAAAAACCCCTTCTTCCTTGTAACTTTACTAACTGCTCAGCACAGGACATTTTAAAAATAACTCATCCAGAGCACTGTTGCTCTCCATCGGATATCCAAGGAGCATGCAGAGTTCAACCAGAAGCAAATGCAACCCAACAAAGGGAGGCAGGAGGAAAGCAAACTGACCCTGACCTATTGATAGGGTGGGGGGACAACAACCAACCAACCAAACCAGTCTCCCAGCCTCCTTCGAAACCACCCAGACTTAGAGGGACAGCAGGAGGCTCCTCACTTAAGCCTTCCCTGCCGCAAGCTGGTCAGAGCCCTGATGGTCTCCAGCTGCTAGCTCTACAGGAAGAGATACCCAACAGGTGCAAGCCACTGGCTCAAATGGGATCCTATTCACAGCCTGGCACATGAAGCCTGGTTACTGGAGCTTGTAGTCACTAAATTCCACACTTCTGACATTTTAATAAACACTTTTTCACTTCTCCTGATCTTAAATTACAATGTTAAGTAGAGTCCCATCTGTGGAGAGGAAAGGCTGATGTGAATTACCTATGACATAGGCACCTTTTAAGCCACACACCTGTGAGTGCTCACAAGGGACCACTTTTCCCATACAAATATGGCCCTACAAGATGAGGGTCCTTCTGGATAATGAACTTTGGGTAGTAGCCTACTCAGAAGAAACCAGTTCCTAAAGTTGAAGGGGTGAGCAAAATTCAGACCTGAAATCTTTGTGCTCCAATTTGAGATTCTGGTAAATGTGCACATCTTAGGAGTTACCTTTCCAATACAAACTGACACGAAAATCAAGCATCCTGATGAAAGAAAGCAGTCTTGAAAGCACAAACACTCGGGGGAGACTAAAGGAGATCCTTCCACCACCTCCAGCACTCTAGCCTTTCTAGCAGAGCCTCTGAAAGCGTGGACATGGACATTTTCCCAGAGACATGCTGCCCAGTGATGCCCATGTTCATTCTCTCTCACTGGTGTCCAAGACACTTTAGGAGTTGGTAAGAGGACGGGAAACTGACATGCTCAGCTATTGGCGTTTTTTTTTTTTTTAATCGGACGCAACTGGCAAAGGAAACTGAAAAGCAAACCTTTCTGTTCCGTTTTAGTTGTGTTGCAAAGTCTATCACGAAAGAATACAAAAAATTCTCTCCACAAGGTATTCCTCCAGTCGTTTGGTTAATCGAACATGCCAGACACTCTGCCAGGTGAAAGAGATAGCATGGTCTCTGGCATGGACTCAGCTCTCCTGTCCCCCACTACTGCCATTGATAAGTACCACTGGTGAGTGCCTTCTGCAGGCATCTCAGCCACTGTGTCCTCTGCAGCACAGCCAGCCAGCTTCTCAGTGGACATCCAGTTGCCAGCAGCGAGTTATTTGCGGGAAAACAGCAGTCACAGTTAAGTATTGCCACCCCCCAACTGGTGAGCAGAGAGGGTCACAGGGCAAAAACCGCTCCACCTCCACTTCCCTAAACCTCTATTCAAGACTCAAGACCTCTCGCTGAAGGCAAAACTAGAACCCAGGCTTCATGCCCTGACCATCCAGATGCCACCCTCACCCTCCTGGAGACCCCCGCCACTCTGCTGCCGCCGGGGAGGTAAGGAAACAGGACTGCCCCCTCTGCCCTTTCAAGTACTGAGTCATGAGAAATACAAGGTGCCATCCAGTGACCACCGAGTCGCAGACCCTCCCCTTCCTGTGCCTCTCACTGCGCCCCAGGGCCAACCCCTTCCACATCTCCAAGTGCCTGCGCCTTGGGGACTCCTGCCACATGGACAGACACCGAGTTACCTCCGGAGTCAGGTCTGATTCTGACGTAGGCGGCGCGGGTGGCGGGGCTTTCACGCCGGTTCAGCGCACACCTGGCCGGATGTCGAGGGCACCACCTCCGGCCAGGTGCCAGCCTCCCGAGCCACGGGCCCCGGGGGCCCTCCGCGGGCCGCGACCATCTGCGCGCCCGGCAGGTGCCTTCCCCGTCAGGCGCGGCGCCGGGCAGAGCCGCCGCAGCCTCCGGGGCCCCTCGGAGCAGGTGCGGCGGGCCCCGCGCTCCGGGCTCCGGCCGGCGGCCGCCGCAGGCCCGGGCGGGGACGGCGGGCCCGAGCG